CGTGATATGGCCGTAGCCATTCATAACCTTAAATAGCAAAATATGAATCAGTTCAACAATGTTATTGTTAATAATATGCAATAGGAAATAGATATGTAGCTTTGTAAGAAACAACATTGAGATTATGGTGAAATTCCTTCAAGATGAATAAATAAACAAAAGTGAGTCAATAAATCTTTATTTGAATTGAGCAAAAAATTCCTCTATATTTTCTAATACATTATCAAAAGTGACACTTTGGAGCTCTTTCAAAGGTTTCAGATGTGAATAATCGTAATTTGTATCTGTTTCATCACACGTTCCTTCTTCTGGTTCTCCAACTCTGAAAAAACAATAAGGAGTCCAATAGAATATTTCGTTAGAAGCTTCTCCACAAATTACAATTTCGTCATATCCACTAACAATAACACAATAATGGTGCCTTCCATTAACATAATAAAGACTCTTTTCTTGATAATCAAAATCATGGACATCGACTATTGGCTCCGAGTAAAGGGCATGAGCATCCTTATAAGCTCCATAGGTTTGATAGTCTATGTCATCTCTATTGATAGCTCTATAATTTGCAATGAGATTTGAGACATACTCAAAAGCTTCATCTTTGATTTTTGGATTTTTGATTGTTTTGACATCTCCATAATCATAAGCTGCAGTGAGCTCTTCATCTATCCAAAATATAGTAAGAGGATCAAGATCCAAACCATCATCTCCTATTTGACCAGCTTGAATTGGGGCAGATTTAGTTTTTCTTTTTCTTGGTACAAGATTTTGCACATTTTTCCAAACTCTTTTACCAGGTTTCATATAATTGACAAGATATCCTCGACTATACACCAAACCGACAATACAGGCACAAATAGACTCGAAATCTAAATTTTCCTCCAATATTCCATCAATGAATTGTTTCACTTTCTTTTGGATCTTTCTTTTACGATTCGAATAGCACTCCCTTAAAAACTTATTCTCTGATTTATCTAGCAAGAGAATCCTGAAATATTGATACCCGTAAACTTCTTCATCATCTCCACCATTTATATGATCAGGAAAAAACATTAAAAGCTTGAATTTCCCACCATTTGACTTTCTCAAAGTAACTATGAATTTATACTCTCCATTTTTCAAAAAGCATTTTCCTGAAATGAATTGATTTGCAATTTCTGGAATATAGTATTTGTTGCCTTTTTTAGGATAGGAAGCAAAAGATGCCATCGATTTGTAAACTAATTCTATTACATATTTAGTCATTCTTTCCGTATGTCTTAAATCATCTCCTGATTTCAATAAGTCAATTAACGAATCTAGTTGATAAGGCACTGGACATTGACGATAATCATTAATATCTATTCTACGATTATATTTTTTTTCTCCAAAATAACTAATTATAGGACTTTGATTCTTCGTTTTTCCATTATTATTATTAGATGGAGGAGGTGGTTCTTTGACATAATTATAAGTATTGAGAATAAAGTTCAAATAATAATCGACACAAGTGATGCCTCCAATACCAAGCATTATTCTAAATAAAACTTCCATTTGAATATTTCCCTTAATAGAAAACAATAAACTCTCAAAAGCAGGAATATCAAATATTCTTTTCTGTGTAATTTCAACCAATGTTAGCAAAGAAGAATCATCCAATTCTCTTGCCAAATAGTAGTGACCAACAGTGCCTGTGATGTGTAAATTTTGATGCAAGACAACTGGCTCACCAGAATATGTTAAAAACTTCACATGAACCGATGAATTCTTGATAAAATACTCAATTCCATCCGTCGCTCTATTACTGGGTTTGAACTTCTCTTCTTTATCACTGTCATTTTTGTCATCATCTGAATCTTCATCATCCTCATGCGCAGAGCTTCCTTCACAGTAGAATCCCAAAACCTCCATCAATCCATTCTTGAAATAATAGTTATGAGCATTCAATACATGACAATTTATCTTGGCCAATGTTTCTTCATTATCGTGGACCATCATGTCGTGTTCAAATTCCACACCATTCATAATATATAAATTCCGTAAAAAACCATCCAATCTATACAAAATTGCTTCTTTGTCATTTTGCTTTATGATCTTAGAATAATGTTGATGAATATTGTGTAGATAACTCTTCTTCGGAAGGAAATTCTTTGCCTCATATAATTGTTTGCATGATGAGAGAAAGTTTACTTGTGTTGTGGGAGATGTTACAAAGCTGAGAATTGTGTCGAGTATTGATGATAGTGATGAAGAATTGAAAAGTTGTTTTGGTTGT